TTTTTTTTTTTTTTTTTTTTTTTTTTTTTTTTTTTTTTTTTTTTTTTTTTTTTTTTTTTTTTTTTTTTTTTTTTTTTTTTTTTTTTTTTTTTTTTTTTTTTTTTTTTTTTTTTTTTTTTTTTTTTTTTTTTTTTTTTTTTTTTTTTTTTTTTTTTTTTTTTTTTTTTTTTTTTTTTTTTTTTTTTTTTTTTTTTTTTTTTTTTTTTTTTTTTTTTTTTTTTTTTTTTTTTTTTTTTTTTTTTTTTTTTTTTTTTTTTTTTTTTTTTTTTTTTTTTTTTTTTTTTTTTTTTTTTTTTTTTTTTTTTTTTTTTTTTTTTTTTTTTTTTTTTTTTTTTTTTTTTTTTTTTTTTTTTTTTTTTTTTTTTTTTTTTTTTTTTTTTTTTTTTTTTTTTTTTTTTTTTTTTTTTTTTTTTTTTTTTTTTTTTTTTTTTTTTTTTTTTTTTTTTTTTTTTTTTTTTTTTTTTTTTTTTTTTTTTTATTTTTTTTTTTTTTTTTTTTTTTTTTTTTTTTTTTTTTTTTTTTTTTTGTTTTTTTTTTTTTTTTTTTTTTTTTTTTTTTTTTTTTTTTTTTTTTTTTTTTTTTTTTTTTTTTTTTATTTTTTTTTTTTTTTTTTTTTTTTTTTTTTTTTTTATTTTTTTTTTTTGTTTTTTTTTTTTTTTTTTTATATATTTTTATTTTTTTTACAGTTCCTTGATCTTTTTGTAGTTTGTTATTGCGTTGGTTTCGGAATTTTTTTCGTTTGTTGGTTTATGATACAACGATTTTAAGTTTGGCGGTTGATATCTATTTTGTTTTATGTTGTCTTTTGGTTCCAGGTTTAAAAAAGATGCATTTGTAAGAAAATATTTTTCCTTCTAAACAACGCTGGTTTGTTAACTTGGACAGAAGGTTGCCCCAGCTTTGAAGACCAAGGCGCAGTGCTCCGGGCACTTTTTTTTTTCCATCGTAAGGAGACTTTCCGCGGCAAGCTGCAGAAGAAGTTGCCACGCCATGAAAGGTTATTGCCTCTAAGATGAAGGAGGAGCGGAGAGGGAATTTTTTTTTTGGACAGGCCGTAGGTCGGGGGTGTCATTTCAGAAGGGCGCTGCTGAAGGAGTGTGAGTTTAGACTTGTCGTTTCCTTTGCGGTATATTTTTATCGGTTTGTAAATTTATGGGTTTCTGGCGGAGTCTTTCTGAATGCATTAGGGTAATTTTCCACGTGTTGATTCATTTTGGAACACCTGATGACTCATAAAACCAACTGGTAAGATTTTGTATATTTCCATCTGAGATGACCTACAAGGCCTCCAAACTATCTCTAAACATGGGGTGTTTACTGTCCTTCAGACTTTGCAGGAGCCGGACTTGGGTCAGTGGGAGTAGAAAATATCCTGGCATCCAATGGCAGTAAACTATGCCCTATCTATGCTCTCAGTGGGAGGACTAGTGCCCCGTTGTTGGTGTCAGGGGGAGGAATAGGACCCCGTTGTTGGTGTCAGTGGGAGGAATAGTGCCCCGTTGTTGGTGTCAGTGGGAGGAATAGGGCCCCATTGTTGGTGTCAGTGGGAGGAATAGTGCCCTGTTGTTGGTGTCAGTGAGAGGAATAGGGCCCCATTGTTGGTGTCAGTGGGAGGAATAGGGCCCCATTGTTGGTGTCAGTGGGAGGAATAGTGCTCCCGTTGGTGTAAATGAAAGGAATAATGCCCCAATGTTGGTGTCCATGGGAGGAATAGTAGCCCACCGATGGTATTAATGGAAAGAATTGTGACCCATCGGTGTCAGTAGGAGGTATAATGCCCCATTGTTGGTGTCAGTGGGAGGATTGATGCCCCATTGTTGGTGTCAGTGGGAGGACTAGTGCCCCATTGTTTGGTGTCAGTGGGAGGATTAGTGCCCCGTTGTTGGTGTCAGTGGAGGACTAGTGCCCCATTGTTGGTGTCAGTGGGAGGACTAGTGCCCCATTGTTGGTGTCAGTGGGAGGACTAGGGCCCCGTTGTTGGTGTCAGTGGGAGGATTAGTGCCCCGTTGTTTGGTGTCAGTGGGAGGACTAGTGCCCCATCATTGGTGTCAGTGGGAGGACTAGTGCCCCGTTATTGGTGTCACTGGGAGGACTAGTGCCGCATTGTTGGTGGCTGTGTGAGGACTAGTGCCCCATTGTTGGTGTCATTGTTTGGTGTCAGTGGGAGGACTAGTGCCCCATTGTTGGTGTCATTGTTGGTGTCAGTGGGAGGAATAGTGCCCCATTGTTGGTATCATTGTTGGTGTCAGTGGGAGGACTAGTGCCCCATTGTTGGTGTCATTGTTGGTGTCAATGGGAAGATAGTGCCCCATTGTTGGTATCATTGTTGGTGTCAGTGGGAGGAATAGTGCCCCGTGGTGTCAATGAAAGGAATTATGCCCCAATGTTCATGGGAGGTATAGTATCAATGGAATGAATTGTGCCCCATCAGTGTCAGTTGGAGGAATAGTGCCCCATTGTTGGTGTCAGCGACAGGCATTATGCCCCATTGTTGGTGTCAAGGGATGGAATAATGCCCCAAGGACTGGATAAAGGCAAGTAGAGAGCTGCAGTTTGGAGACCGCTGTTTTAGGCCATAGCAAGTGATGGGGTTCCTTGCTCACTATGGAAGAACCTGGTTGCTAGTGTCTCCTGATGCTGCAATGATCAATATGAAGCTAAGTCCAGGAACATAAGGACAGAGTTTGGACAAAGACAAGGTAGTTGGATTTCTGAATTTTTTGGAGGTGGCTTTCTTTCAACAGGGGTTCCTCAAGGTTTTCTTGAAAACGTTGAGGAATTGGAAGAATGAAAACTAACCATAGAAAGTATTATTTTACTGGAAAGGTAGTTGATACTTGAAGCAGATCCCCAGCAGAGGTTGTCAGCTAAACCCAGATCTAGGTTTTCATAAAACCCATTAAAGGCAAAACTTTTCCAAATTTGGGGCTGTTACTCTGCTATGTTTCTTCTGTGACTCCTCTTGAGCTGAGTAGCTCAATAAATGCTTTTGCTCAGCAGATGAGGACCATGACGAGGACTCAGACAGCGACGAAGGGGAGCAGGACCTTCCCGGGCTTTCTAGCCATGAGTCCAGCTTGTCTCTGAGCACTCCTGGTAACTCCTCGCTGGTGGGGTCCTTCGGCCTCTGCAGTGGTGAAGATGGAGGCCAACCAAAAGGCAAAGAAGAAGATAGAGCGGCAAGGACTACTAGGTAAGACTTGTATAATTCTGCCACATTCCTTCGAAATTGTCCACTTGGTACTTTGAACACATTTGGAGCCCGCAATTCCCAGAATCCTCCTCCCCCTGCTCTTGCAGTTTGCTGACATGCTGTCTGAAAACGACACGTTGAACCAGAATGCCTGAGGTTACAATATAACCAAATGTTGGCTTGGATGGGAAGATACAAACTGGACTTGGCCTTCTGAACTAAATGTAACCCAGTTATTTATATTTTAAAAACTGAACACCTTTTGGAATGAATTGTGAGATCAAGTATTGATGTTGGAGGAGAGGACCTGTCTCACCGTCGGAGTTCCAATTCATCTAATAGGTCTTCAGTAGGTTGAGGTCAGGACTCTGCACAGGACACTGGAGTTCCTCCACACCAAACTGGTCCTCCATGTCGTTATGGAGCTGCCTTTGTACACAGGGGACAGTCATGGGGGGGACAGAAAAGGGTCTTCACCAAAACTGTTACCACAAGGCTGGAGGAGCACAATTGTCTCCAATGTCTTTGTATGATGGAGGATTACCAGCACTCTTCTGGGAACGTCTGAATTAAAAGACATTGTACACAACTGGGCTCTTCCAACCTTGTGGTGACAGTTTTGTGAAGACCCATTTCTTTTCCGCCATGACTGTCCCCTGTGTACAAAGCCAGCTCCATAAAGACATGGAGGACCAGTTTGGTGTGGAGGAACTTGAGTGTCCTGCACACAGCCCTGACCTCAACCCTACTGAACACCTTTGGGATACATTGGAACCCTGATGGTGAGCCAGGTCATCTCATTCAGCATCAGTACCTGACCTCAAAAATGGGCCCAAATTCCCACAGACAACCTCCAATCTTGTAAAAAGCCATATCAGAAGACTGAAGGATGTTGTAGCCATGGGAATGGACAATTTTGGTGCTGTGTTTCGATGGAATTCTGAATGGTGTCCATGACACCTTTCATGAATTTCTCCCCATGGTTTAACCAGTTTGGGGTGGAGGAGGAGGAACTCGGGTGTCCTGCACAGGGCCCTAACCTCAACCCTACTGAACACCTTTGGGATGAATTGGAATGCCAATGGTGAGCCAAGTCATCTCATCCAACCTGAGTACCTGACCTCACAAATGGGCAGAAATGCCCACAGACCCTCCAAAACTGCATGAAATGCCTTCCCAGAAGAATGGAGGATGTTATAGCCATGGATTGGGAGGAGGAGGGGAGGTGGTCATTTTATTGCTATGGAATTGTTTATGAATTCCCCCATGTATGTACGACCAGTTTGGCGTGAAAGAACTAGAGTGTCCCGCAGAGAGCCCTGACCTCAACCCTACTGAACACCTCATTGAGAGCCAGATCTTCTAATCCATCCTGACATTACAAATTCCCACAGGCACCCTCCAAAATCTTGTAGAAAGCCTTCCCAGAAAAGTGAAGGATGTTAGAGGAGATCAACTCCATATTGATGGCCATGGTTTTAGAATGGGACGTCCGACAAGGTTGTAAAGATCTGATGGTCAGAAGTCCACAAATTATTGACCGTATAGTGTATCTTCTACTGTTTTCAGGGTCATGTGGTATCACCAGCCCGGAGAACGAGGTCAAGATCCGCAAGCGTTCGGCTAAAATAGAAACCCGGGCCCGTCCTGACAAGACTCTGAAGAAGAAATCCCTGAGCCACAAGGGCAAACTGGATGGAAATATCAAGCGAAAATCCCCTTCCGACAATGGGACACTGACACCCAGCAAGGGATTATTCTGCACCGCAAACCAGGTCCTGAAGAAGGACAAGAAGAGCAAAAACATCCAGGTGAGTGAAAAATCCTGCCACCACTTTGCATCTGCAGAAGGTTCACTGTGTACCTGAACTTCAGCCGAAAGGTTAAATACCCAAATGAAGTACAGGAGCTGCTTTACCTGCAATATAGCCTGGTCACCTCCATTCCCTCAGCCTTTGATTGGACCAGAATCGGCAGAAGCTCACTATCTTGGTCCTGCCTTCATTTCTTGGCTGAACATCTTCAATCGTCATCAATCCCCTCTTCCTGCCTCTCACAGCTATTCGCTTTCTCTGCCAGCAATCATTTTGTTCCTGAGCATCTCCAGCATCCTTTTTGAATGTCCATGCTCTTTGGGTGCTTCAGACTATAGCTGTGCAATCTGCTGATCAGTTGCTTGACCACAATTCAAGCAGCTGATCAGCAGATTGCGCAGCTAAAGTCTAAAGACAGCAGTGGCCAGTTGGGGGAGGAGCATGCACCTCTAAAGATTGTTTGTTTGAAAGTGCATGTTGATTGAGAAGATAGGGAGGGGCAAGGGAAGGTATTATATCCTTACATTTCACTTCAACTTTAAAGAGAACCTGTACATTTAGATCTAAATAGGTAGGGAAGACGGGACACAAAAGGTGACCTAGACCTTTACTATTATCTCATATTTAATATGCTATATATGTGTGACTGAAGACATTTCTGTGTCATCTAGAGAAAGAATGGGGTTCTGAGTCTTTCCCTGACATCGCGGTCTCCGAAGAATCTTCTGAAAGAAGGGATGAAGATGGGGAGGATAAAGTCCAAACAGGTATGTTGGAGTTAGAAATCTCTAGTTTCTCCAGACTTGGCTTGATGCCATGGTTGCTCTTGGGTGTCAGAGCCGTGGCATCTCCCCCCTGCCATGTGACAGTGTTTGGGCATTGCGATTGGCCTGTAGGCCCTGCGTTATGGAAGGGGACCACATGCTATCCCATACCCAGAAGCACCAAGTAATGTGATGTCCAAAATAGGAAAGAGACCTGGTTGGGTCTTTTTGAAGCCTGAAGTCTTCTTCTGCCGCCCCCATTAGTTGGTGTGTCCCGTGGCATAGTCCCATCCCACATACCAATGACTGTCTTGTTTGCTCACCACCAGGAGCGAGGTCGTGCCGTCAGCCGCCTCCTGCAAAGCTTTGCCGTAGAAGATGACTTCCAGTTTGACGATAACAGCAGTTTTTCGGAAGGAGAAGAAGAGGCCAGCTCAACGGGCAACAAATGTAAGGCCGCCGCTAGTGAGGAGCCAACTCCAGTTTACAGGAATCCGGAAAGTTTTTTTTTTTCCCAGTTTTCTAAATTCTGGATTTGTTTTGTCACAGCTCACATCTGCTCCTTGTCCAAGATGGACCTGAGGGAAGGTCTGCAGGTTCTCATCCCCAAGGAGGACAACCTCCTGTACGCAGCCAGCATTCGAAGTCTGCAGCCCCCCGACATGTAAGTAGTGGAAGTTTCCACAGCAGGATTAAATTGTACATACGTGTATGGAAGGCCATGTCACCGACCAACCAGAAGATGCTTTTTGGAAGATTGTATTTTATAACCAGCCAGGGTCACCATCTACTTCAGCTCCACCTTTTATCAGTCGAAAGCTGTCCTTGAGCTCCAGCCAATGACTATGCCTAGGCTGGGATGATGTCAGCAGTCTGCTGCAGGCAGGAGTAAGCATTTCCTCAGTCTCCCCTCCCCCAGTGATCAGACTGTACATTGTAACCTTGTAGGAGGAGTAAGCATTTCCTCAGTCTCTCATCCCCCAGTGACCAGACTGTACATTGTAACCTTGTAGGAGGAGGAGGAGGAGGCATTTCCTCAGTCTCCCCCCTCCCCCGGTGACTTGCTACAAAGTTACAATGCACAGTCTGATCAGAGGGGCTGATCTGTATCAGACATTTGTCTGCCCAGGAAGTAGCTGGTGACCCTGGATGATGCCTGAACAAAGATGGCGCCCTCCCTCTGTAGAGGGAAGCAGATGAAGGCATTGTCGGGCGGGGGGGGGGGGGGGGGGGAGGTCCATTTAACATGTTCAACCTCACTACATGTCTAAGCACAACCAATCAAGCAGCAATATCATCTACATGGCCGGTCCTCTTCCTCCCCATCTTACTCCTCTTCCTCCTCCTCTTCCTCCTCCTCCTCTTCTTCCTCCTCCTCTTCCTTCTTCCTCCTCCTTCCTCTTCCTCCTCCTCCTCCTCCTCTTCTTCCTCCTCCTCCTCCTCCTCTTCTTCCTCCTCTCCCCTTCTCCCCTTTGCGCTTCCCCCTCGCACTTCCCCCCCTCTCCCCCCTTGCACTACCCCCCCTCTCTCCCCCTTCCCCCCCCATCTCCCTCTCTCCCCCTCTCCCCCTCTCTCCCCCGCTTTCCCCCTCTTCCCTCTCTTCCCTTCCTCCTCTCCCCCTCTCCCGCTTTCCCCATCCCTGCTCTCCCCTTCCTTCCTCCTCTCCCGCTCTCCCTCTCTTCCCTTTCTCCTCTCCCCTCTCTCTCACTCTCTCTCTTCCCTTCCTCTCTCCCCATCCTTGCTCTCACCCTTCCCGCTCTCCCCCGCTTTCCCCATCCCTGCTCTCCCCTGCCTCTTCTCCCCCTCTCTCCCCTGCCTCCTCCCCTTTGTGCTTCCCCTCTCCTGCTCTCTCCTCTCCCCCTCTCCCCTGCCTCCTCTCCCCCTTTCCCCTGCCTCCTCTCCCCCTGTCCCCTGCCTCCTCTACCCCTCTCCCCTGCCTCCTCTTCCCCTCTCCCCTGCCTCCTCTACCCCTCTCCCCTGCCTCCTCTACCCCTCTCCCCTGCCTCCTCCTCTACCCCTCTCCCCTGCCTCCTCTACCCCTCTCCCCTGCCTCCTCTTCCCCTCTCACCTGCCTCCTCTCCTTCTCTACCCCTCTCCCCTGCCTCCTCTTCCCCTCTCCCCTGCCTCCTCTACCCCTCTCCCCTGCCTCCTCTTCCCCTCTCACCTGCCTCCTCTCCTTCTCTACCCTCTCCCCTGCCTCCTCTCCTTCTCTACCCTCTCCCCTGCCTCCTCCTCTCCCCCTGTCCCCTCTCCTTTTCTCTCCTCTTCTCCCCCCTCTCTCCCTGCCTCCTCTCCCCCCTCCCCCTGCCTCCTCCTCCCCCTCTCCCCTGCCTCCTCTCCCCCTCTCCCCTGCCTCCTCTCCTCTTCTCCCCCTCTCTCCTCCTGGCCTCCTCTCCCCTCCCTCCTCTCCCCCTCTCCCCTGCCTCCTCTCCTCTTCTCCCCTCTCCCGCTCTCCCCTACCTCCTCTCCATGGCTCACACGCAGTAACATTCTGGTTGTTTCCTTCATTCCAGATACAGCGTTGTCATCGAGGGGGAGCGAGGGAACCGGCCGCGGATCTACTCCCAGGAGCAGCTCTTGCAGGAAGCGGTGAGTCGGTGGCGGGATGGCGCTCTCAGCCCCTGCTGGTATGGTGCTCTCAGCCAGTGGCGGGATGGTGCTCTCAGCCAGTGGCGGGATGGCGCTCTCAGCCCCTGGCGGGATGGCGCTCTCAGGCGGTGGCGGGATGGCGCTCTCAGCCCCTGGCGGGATGGCGCTCTCAGCCCCTGGCGGGATGGCGCTCTCAGCCCCTGGCGGGATGGCGCTCTCAGCCCCTGGCGGGATGGCGCTCTCAGCCGGTGGCGGGATGGCGCTCTCAGCCGGTGGCGGGATGGCGCTCTCAGCCGGTGGCGGGATGGCGCTCTCAGCCGGTGGCGGGATGGCGTTCTCAGCCGGTGGCGGGATGGCGCTCTCAGCCCCTGGCGGGATGGCGCTCTCAGCCGGTGGCGAGATGGCGCTCTCAGCCCCTGGCGGGATGGCGCTCTCAGCCCCTGGCGGGATGGCGCTCTCAGCCGGTGGCGGGATGGCGCTCTCAGCCGGTGGCGGGATGGCGCTCTCAGCCCCTGGCGGGATGGCGCTCTCAGCCCCTGGCGGGATGGCGCTCTCAGCCCCTGGCGGGATGGCGCTCTCAGCCGGTGGCGGGATGGCGCTCTCAGCCGGTGGCGGGATGGCGCTCTCAGTCGGTGGCGGGATGGTGCTCTCAGCCGGTGGCGGGATGGCGCTCTCAGTCCCTGGCGGGATGGCGCTCTCAGTCCCTGGCGGGATGGCGCTCTCAGTCCCTGGCGGGATGGCGCTCTCAGTCCCTGGCGGGATGGCGCTCTCAGCCGGTGGCGGGATGGCGCTCTCAGCCGGGGGCAGGATGGCGCTCTCAGCCCGCTTCTTCTTCTTCACATCCCATAGAAAGGATGTCCTAGAAGGCATCACCTGGGCTACGACCTGCAGGGACCCCCATCGACCCGCCTGGAAGCTGATTGGTCGGCACACGCGGCAGCCCTGCGTTGTTTGTGGCGTGTTATTAAATAAAGCCGCCGTGTCACCATCAGCTCCATGACTAAGCAGCGAGCAGCATCGCACACAAACCTCAGCAGCTGTGCGCTAATCAGACCCGTCACCCACACAAATGACTAAATTGGTGTCTTTAACACTTAGATAATGATCTGCCGCTTTAACTCTCTGCGAGGAAGGAAACGCTCGCCGCCGGCCGCCGCGCCAAAGCTGATTTTCTTGTTTAAATAGGAAACTGTATGCGTTATTTTCTGGAGGGGGGGGGGGGGAGGGGAATTCCGAGACGACTAGAGATTTAATTGCATGCGGCGAAATTACACAATGTGCATTAGAAGCTGCAGCAAGTCAGAGCTCCGCCTCGTTTCCTGGCTGAAGGACTCCCAGCATCCTCTAGCCCTTTCCTCCCCATCCTGACTGTCCCTGGCCCCACCCCTTTCATTCGTTGGAGTTCAGTGCTTCTATAGGTCCAGGTTCACACCTACGGGTTTTGCGCAGCGTTTTGCAGAAACGCACAGCAATCCACTGAACATGGTTTCCTATCGGACTGGTTCACATCTCCGCGTTTTCACCCGGTGCGTTTTTTTGGAAAGGGTCAGGGACTTTTTTTAAACGCAACACGCGAGACGCCGCAGGAATGCATGTAGTGTGGTTTTTTTTACGCTTTTTTGATTTGTTTTAATCTGCCC